CAGCAGGAAAGAAACCACAGTGACATCCATTTCTAAATACAAGAACCATGGGTTCATACTCAGCGATGGCTCCATTTTAGTGAAGTGGGGAACTTTGACATGTCCTGCCATTTCCTACGTAATTTTTGTTGTAAGATCATTCTGAACCATGCACTGTAAAAAAGCTTTCTCCTTTGTTGGACAGGGTTCTTATTCAATGTCCTCGTCTCACTTCTATTCCAAAGACAAGATTTGTGTTTATGCATCTGTACTTTCAATTATTTTGCCAAAACTTTTAAATTTTCATTTCAAAATGAAAATAAAATCACAGAAAAACTAGAATATGGAATGAGCACAGATATTCAAGGTCACTGAATTTGTGACTGCAGATGTTGCATTGCTTGATTCCTCATAAACATATAAGCATCAAGCAACTAAGGTTTCTGACTGGTTCCTGACTGAAAACCAGGTGAGTCTGTTCTCCCCAAGCAAGGCTGTAGCTGGGAAATCTAGCAGGAAAAGAAAGTGTCATACCACTCTTGGAGACTGTGCTGGGTGTTCTTTAGGGAAGAGGTTGGAAAGCCAGACAAGACTCAGCAAACAGTAGCAACAAGTATTTAAGGTCTAAAAAAGGTTTTTTAGTGAAAGCCTAAATCCCTAGTCAATCACATCTATGAAGAAGCTAGCAGTGACTTCACTGACGTCTATTCAGATGTCATCTCACTAAACTGAAATGACCAACACAGAAGTCTTCCACTAATCATTTGGTTTCCTCTACAGCGAAGTAAGAGAAATAACTGCAGGCATAGATTCATGCATTTTATGTCTGACAATTGCAAACAGGTAGCTTAGACTAGACACCTGAGATCAGGAAAGATGGATCCTGAGATACATTCCACCAGGAGGCAATTCTTTCTGCTATCTGATAGCTCTTGACTAAGTCAGACAAGTAAGTCAGTTTGCACTGCTTTGTCTGGAAACTGAAGAAATCCCACAGTCCCCCTTGAAAACCCGTTACAGTACTCACTTGTTCTTCAAGCTCAAATACTTCTGCTAATATTAGGCATCACCTTTCAGGTGAAACTACTAGGCTTCACCCTGTTCTGTCTTTATTCCTCCATATAGCTCAAATTTGTATGATTGCCATCATGTTCTGTACTCTCCTACCATAAATTTAATTCTCCTTTCACCACGTCCTTTCTCCTAGGTGCAAGGCAGCAGTAAACATGGCGTGGCAGAATCACTCCACAGTGAGTGAGTTCTTCCTCTCAGGCCTCACCAGCAATCATGCTGTAGAACTGGCCCTCTTCACCTTCTTTGTGGTCATCTACGTGCTGATTATTTTGGGCAACATCTTCATCATCTTCATGATTGCACATGACCAGCAGCTACATAGTCCCATGTACTTCTTCCTCAGCAACCTCTCTGTCATTGACGTCTGTCACTCCTCGGTGGTGATGCCCAAGATGCTGGCTGACTTCCTGGTGGACAAGAAGAGCATCTCCTTTGCGGAGTGCATGGCACAGATGTTCTTCCTCCACCTCTTTGCCTGCACAGAGATCTTTCTCCTCACCATCATGGCCTATGATCGCTACATAGCAATCTGCAACCCCATGCGTTATGGCACCATCATGAGCCAGAAGATGTGCCTCCAGCTCACTGCAGCCATGTGCATGGGAGGGCTGATACATTCTGTGGCCCTCACTGCCCTGACCCTCAATCTCCCGTACTGTGGTCCCAGTGCCATTGACAACTTCTTTTGTGATGTCCCCTTGGTCATCAAGTTGGCCTGCGTGAACACCCAGGTCTTCGAAATGCTCATTGTCTCCAACTCAGGCCTCATCTCTGTGGTCTGCTTCCTGGTGCTGGTGACTTCCTATGTGGTCATATTGGTGTCACTAAGGAACCATCTCTCAGAAGGGCAACACAAGGCATTATCTACCTGTGCTGCTCACCTGACAGTGGTGACACTTTTCCTAGGACACTGCATTTTCATCTATCTCCGGCCAGCCAAGAGTTTAGCTGCAGACAAAGTTGTGTCAGTTTTCTTCACGGCCATCACCCCTCTGATGAACCCGATTATCTATACCTTTCGGAACGAGGACATGCAAAATGCTCTGAGAAAGCTATTCAGGTGACAGGCTGATTCCCAAGACAAGTGACACTGTTGGGGGTGAATGGAAGGCTGCCAATCCCTGGGTATTGTCTGCCCGTTTGCCCTCCCTCCAGGGTATTCTCTGGGCATGTAGCTCCAGATTTTTGTCTTTTCTGCACCCCTAGCACTGAGTTGAAATCAAACAATGGCACTGGCTCTCATCCACAATAGGTTATTTGAGGGATGCTTTAAGCCATTTATCAGAGGGGAAGTGTTGAAATGTAAATGTCAAGGATATGCTAGATTACTATGCTCTAAGGACCCAGCTCCTTTGGGCTGTTAATCTAAGCAGCCTAAGTGTATTTTGCAATAACACTTCTGTTCAAATGAAATTTATCCCTTCACCCTAAGTACTGCTAGAAGAGGTTAATGCTTTAGCAAACACAAGCCTACTTATTCAGTTTACTCTTCTGGCCTATGTGGTTAGCCTGAATTTGAGAGTTTCGAACTTGTCCTCATTCAGGTAAGGATTTGATGGATATACATGTTTTGTGTATATTTTTACCCCAAACCCTACTGCCTCTTTTTTCACTGCATACAGCGTGACAGATATTTTCTTTGCTCAGAATGTTGATAAGCAAGCAGGTGGAGGTAGACTTGAGCTCTTTACCCATTTTCAGCAGGGTACCTGAATCAAATGATACTTTTAACTTAGATACAACTACTTATCTATTTTCCATATGGCTGCACAAATATGTTAGCACAACTTATGGTGCAGCTTATGATTTGGAATAAGGAGCTAGAGAAGATGGAAACTCCCAAGTTTTCACT